AAGGAAGGGGAAGAGAAGAAAAGAGTTCGTGCTTTCTTGTGACCTAGGGTTTGCACCCCGGTCGAGAGTTGTGTTTTCTCCATAGCAATCTCCCTAAATACAAAGTCTGGTCACCTCCCATTCTGCCCTCAGTTCGAAGTAAAAGCTATTCCAATTCAAAATCCACGAAAATCGCGACTGTTACAAATAAGGCATAGCGCCGCTAAGGGTGGAAATGCTCGAGCCTCTGCCCATCGCTTTGCTGTGTAGCGCCGCTAGCTGGGTTGGCCATAGCGGCGCTATCCTGGACAGCTCTGCATGAATTCACGGTTTGGGCTCGTTCGGGCTCGTCCGGTATCGGAATTCGATTCCACTTTTTGTTGTGCGTTCCCAGCGAGCTCCTCTATTTACTTACTCTTGTCCGAATAATTTTTGCATAAAATTTGGTCCTCCCGAGGCTTCCAACCTACACACCAAAAGCAAAGGAAAACTGGAAAAACATAAGAAAAACACAATAAAAACCGAAAAAGATCAAATCACGCAATAAACTACGAAAACGAATAAAACCCAACGAAAAGACTCAATATGGGGGAAAAAGAAAGACAAAAATACAACGAAAAACGCAACAAAAATGGGACAAACAGTATATATGTTTATTTCTTGATATAAGAGAAAATAACAATTTTACTTATTTTTGTTCATCATAAATAATTATTTTATTACGAAATTGTTGCTATATAATGTCATTATTATTTACAAAAATTTATAAAAGTTGTACATCTTATTTTTTTTTTATATAATGAAAAATATTTAATGCACATTAGTATTATTTATTTATGTAATCATTTTAAAATATATAAGTAAATTTAAAATTAAACAGTGTATAAATATTTTACAACATATATACACATTTTTTTTATAATTTAATTTTGTATGATACTTATAAAAAACTTTGATTTAGAAAATGTCAAAAACCCAATCCATTTTATAATCAAGATTTTTTTAATTCGCATTATAAGGATTTATAGTTTATTTAGCATACTTTGCAGTAAGAATATGTTTTACAAGAATTTCATTATAGAAATTAATCAAAATAAAAATAATAAAAAAATAATCATTGTTGTCAATAATATAAAAATTACTTCTAAAGAACATTTAGTATATTTCAATTTTAATTTTTGACGATTAGTAAAACAATTAAATGTATCTAGTTATTATCTTTTAAATGTTAAATTATATTAGTTTGAAGAATAATTTATTTTTATATATAACGTAATAAAGCTTAAGAAAAAATTATATTGACAAATTAATTCACCAACTTGATTTCTCTTGATTAATTGGAATAAAACATTTTACCTAACCTGTTACAATTTTCTATAAATATTTTTTTGATAAAAAGTGAATATTTGTGAAAAAGAATAATATTGTGGTTAGAACTTAAAATATATTTTACTGATATTTATTTTGACCAAAATATTATCGACATAAATCACAGAAAATCAATCTTTTAATTTACTATAATGAATATCAATGAAATTATTACAAAAATTAATAAAATAATTTAAAAAAATAATATTTATGATCATATCCGATTTGATCTTATTTAAAAAACGTGTATATGGATTATATACAAACACTAAGAAATAAAATAAAATGAATGAGAAAGGAAAAAAAAAACGCATTTTGTATGATTGTATATATGTGAAAAATTCAAATGTTAAATTTGAAATGGCATTTTTTTTTAAATGAATAAAAAGTAAATGAATGAAAACGAAAATTGAAATTCTCTCGTGGAGAGCGTCCCAATTCTCTCGTGGAGAGCGTCCCAATTCTCAGTTGCTTCGTCCTTTTCCGATCAATTCTCAGTTGCTACTAGATTTTTCCTGTTTTTTCTTCCCACTTCTCATCCCCCTCCCCTTATTTGCATTTTGTTCTGGCTTCAATTCAACCCTTAAATTGCTGGTGCTCGTAAATTAGGGTTCCGTATGAGTTCCTCTCAGTGCGTCGGGCAAGATGAAGACCTGGCCCAGAAATTACGGGTGGTTTCTTTATCCGATCGTGAAAACAATCTTACGAATATAGAAAAGGGAGACATCAAAATCAGCAATGAGGAATGCAATCGTAGTCTTTTCGGCAAGGTTATTGGAGACAGACGAGCTAGTTGGGTTGGGATCAAACGCTCAATGACCAACATTTGGAAGCTGCAACAAGCTTTGGAGATTAAGGAATTGGGCCCAAATTATTTCCAGTTCATCTTCCAAAACAAGGAAGATCTCCTCCGGGTGTCAAAGGGTACCAATTGGATCTTTGATAACCAATATTTGATATTGGCAGAATGGAGAAACGACCTATCTATCTCTCACAACATATTTACTGAGCTCAATATCTGGGTACAAGCATTTAATGTTCCGCTGAATTGGCTTAGCACGGAAGTTGGGCTAAAAATCGGTGGTGTCTTTAAAAAAGTGAACAATGTTGTTGTTGTAGGTGCTGGCAGTCATGGAGGGCGTCTGATGAGATTACTGGTAACAGTTGATTTAAATGAAGCCCTCCCGCGATGCTCTCGTATTCGATTGGATGACCAATTGGTAACAGTCGGATTCAAATACGAAAAGTTGGTGAACCACTGCCATTACTGTGGTTTTATTGGTCACCTGGAACGGAGTTGTCTCAAGAGATTGGATGATATTCAATCGAAAAGCTTGACAGAAGGGCAGTTTGGCGATTGGATGCGAGCTCCAGATTTTCTCAATTGGGCAAACCTTGGTCACTCCACCTCCAGAAACTCACCTCCTTCACATACTCACTCCACTCCTGTTCCTAGCCAAGCCACCCCTATAAATACATCCACTAGCCACGTTGAAGATAATAACCAAATAATTCCTGCTCTTGAGGATTCACCTATCCAATCGAGTATGCCCCAACCAACATCTGACCATCCTGCACCCATGCCCCCAAACCCATCTAAACCCAGCTCCTCAAAATCACAACCGCCAGATAACTCTCTCATGATAGTTGATAACCCATCAGACCCAAACCTCAATACCATGGATCTTGACTCTACCCAACTACTCATCACATATCCTTCTTCTGACATACCCATCACCCAAAATCTTATACCAAAAATGTGGAAAAGATCTGGAAGTAGAGAGGGCAGACTCCTTAGACAGGACTCTCCTATGTCTAAGGAGAATCCATCACCCAATGGGAAGAGACCAAGACAAGATCTCTCGCCAGATACTGATGGTAACTCGGAATCACCCAATGCCCAGGACGAAAGGAAGAAAAGCAAACTGTCTGAATCTAAGGTGGAGGTCGCCAGCCTCGAATGGCGCCAGAGTGACAAATGCTAGCCGCGGTGTGGAACTGTAGAGGGCTGGGTGGGCCCTCTACGGTTTCCCAATTGCGAGAGTCGATAAGGACTCACCACCCGAGTTTTACTTTCATTTCGGAAACCAAAAATAAATCCAGTTTTGTTAAATCGGTAGTTAAAAAGATGGGCTTTGATCACAGATTTGCTATTGTTGATCCTCAAGGGCAAAGTGGCGGGTTACTACTTCTTTGGCAAAGTGACATCACCATTCTCCAATCCGTCTCCAAAGATTTCTACATTGCTGTTCAATTCCAGGGAAAGGATGCAGCAAAGTCTTGGGGAATCTTTGTTTACCTCAGCTCGGAAAAACATACCAGAGAACAACAATGGGCTGAGCTGACCCAAGATAAAAGCCTCTGGGGTGATAGTTGGTTTATCATTGGCGACTGGAATGACATTCGATTTCCAGAAGACAAGAGAGGAGGCAGAGATAGAGGGGAGAGGTCCCTTGAAGGTTTCAATGATTTTATTTGCAGTATGGAAATGGAAGAAATCGCAATGTTGGGATATCCATACACTTGGGCCAATAACAGGATCTCTGAGGAGTTCGTTGAGGTAAAACTCGACCGCGCCTTTGCATCTCTGGAATGGATTGAGCAGCATTCCAATGCCTCTGTATTGAATGTCATTAGAGGAGCTTCAGATCATTCTATGCTGCTCCTTGATTATGGCAAGGCTCAACCAAGGCTTCAGAGAAGATTTACCTTCGACAAGCGCTGGCTAGAGATTGATGGTTGTGCGGAGATTGTAAAAAAGGCATGGTCAACCCATCATCAGGGAACACCATTATTCATCCTCAAAGAAAAAGTTAAATGCACCAGAATTGCACTGCTTCATTGGAGTTCTCAATTCCGAAAGCAAAGACTTGGTAGAATCAATGAATTAACTACCCAACTGGAAGCTCTAAATGAAGAAGGAAGGGACAAAGACTGGGACGCCTGGGACAGAATTAAAAGAGACCTCAATGAAGCCCATCGTCACGAGGAACAATTCTGGCAGCAAAAGGCTCGACACAAATGGCTCAAGCACGGGGATTGCAATTCCAGTTTCTTTCATGCTTATGTTCGACACAGAAGGAAAACAAACTCTATTTCCAGGCTTGTGGACAGGAGTAATATGGTTTATGAAACTCATTCTGAAATCGAAAGCCACGTCACTGCGTTTTACAAAAACCTATTTGCTTCTGAAGGTTCTCATGGAGGGGATAATTTGCTCCATCTCATTCCCCACTCAATAACAGATGAAATGAACAAGGAACTTCTCATGCCAATAGAGGGTGATGAAATCAAAAATGCATTATTCAGCCTTGCTTCTGAAAAAGCACCCGGTGAAGAAGGTATGTGCCCCCTTTTTTATCAACACTTCTGGGATACTATCAGATTGGATTTCATTTCTGCCATGAAAAGTTTTTTCTCATCTGGCATGATGCTCAAGTACTGGAATAAAACCCTTATCACATTGATCCCAAAATCCAAAAATCCAGATACTATTGACAAGTTTCGGCCTATAAGCCTTTGCACCGTGGTTTACAAAACCATTTCTAAAATCCTTGCTACAAGACTTCAATCTTGCTTGGACTCTTGCATCAATCCGTGCCAATCTGCTTTCCTCAAGGGCAGGCAACTTCTTAACAACGTAATTATAGCACAGGAGGTCTTTCATTTTCTAAACCGGCATAGGAATGGAAACCGTTTTTTTATGGCTCTGAAACTGGACCTAATGAAAGCATTTGATCGAATAGAATGGAAAAGTCTTCATGGAATTATGTTAAAAATGGGTTTTGATCCTCTCTTTGTCAAACTGATTTTGGAATGTCTCTCTTCTTCGTCTATTGCTTTCAATATTAATGGTCAGATAAGCAATGTGATTTATCCTACAAGGGGTATCAGACAGGGTGACCCCCTGTCACCCTATGTTTTTCTAATCATTGCTGAGCTCCTGACTGCTATGATCTCAAATGCTATTCATGAGGGCTCTTTATCTGGTCTGAGGATTTCAAGAGATGGTCCAATTTTATCCCATTTGCTATTTGCCGACGATGCTCTACTCTTCTGTAGAGCTGGTGTGGATCAAGTGCAGTGTCTCCTTTCTGTTTTTGAGAGTTTCAGATTGTACACGGGGCAAAAGGTGAATTTGTTCAAATCATCAATATTCTTCAGCAGAAACTCTCCAGTCGCCTTGCAAGATAGAATTTGTAATCATCTCCCTGGGATTAGTAAACACAATTCAACAAGATATCTTGGCCTTCCACTCGGCATTGGTAAATCGAAAAAAGAAGCTTTTGAGTATGTGATTTCCTCGGTCAAAGCTAAACTGAACAGTTGGCAATCTAGGCTTCTCTCTCCTGCTGGTAGGGAAGTTCTCATCAGGGCTGTTCTAAATGCCATCCCTATTTTCACCATGGCTTGCTTCAAACTTCCATCTTCTGTCATCAAGGTGATCGCTAGTCTGTGTGCCTCTTTTTGGTGGAGCAAAGGAGAAAACCAGGACAAAGGCATCCATTGGAGTTCTTGGAACAAACTGACTTTGCCTAAAGCTGCAGGTGGCCTTGGTTTTCAAGATGTCAAACTGTTTAATGAAGCTCTCATTTGCAAACAGTTGTGGAGAATTACTTCTCAGCCCCAGTTACTAGTCAGCAGAGTCTTGAAGAGCAGGTACTATTCTTCCACTTCCATTTTTGATGCTGTTAAAACTCCCAACTGCTCCTGGCTCTGGAGTTGCTGGTTACAGGTTATCCCCACTTTTGCCAAGGGTTTTAGAGTACAGATAGGGAATGGGGAATCAACTAAGATATCTGATATTAACTGGATCCCCTCCCTTACTGCTCTCAGACCTAAACTCATGGACCTTGCTGTGGGTCATTTGATCTGGGTAAAAGACTTATTCTGCAACAATGGGTGGACCTGGAATGAGTGGCTGGTTTCCCAGGTTTTTTGTGCTGCTGAAAGCCAAGCCATCTTGAAAATTAAATCCCTGAGCCACAATAGGGAGGATAAAATGTTCTGGAGTTTGGATAGAAAAGGAAAATTTACAGTTTCATCTGCTTATTCCTTTCTTATTGATCAGAAGATTCACCTAATGGATACTCCTCAAAGCAGCTACAATCATATGTCAAATTCCAAAGCTTGGATCAAAACCTGGAAACTGAAAATCCACAACAAACTGAAGCACTTCATTTGGAAATGTTGCTCCAATACCTTGCCTGTGAAAGAAAATCTGCTGAAAAAAGGAATCCAAGTTGATCACATTTGCCATTCTTGTGGAGAAGCTACTGAGACAGTGAACCATCTCTTCTTCCATTGTTCCAGGGCCAGACTTTTCTGGGACCTTAGTCCTGTTACTTGGAATGGTACTTGTGAGGATAATAACAGTTTCAGAACTTGGTGGAGGCATGTTTGCTCTATTGATAAATCTGAAGTGGCCGAGGCTCGCATTCAACTTTCAACATACCTCCTTTGGTGGCTATGGAAATCGCGTAATCTTTGGCTCTTCCAGCATTCTCTCATGCCGGTTCCAGCTCTGGTCAAAGCAGCCATCCGAGACTGGGTTGAGTTCTCTTCAGCTTCTGGGGAGCTATCTTTCTTATAGCAGCTTTTTTAGTTTTAGTTTGTTTTTCTTTTGCTGTTTTCTTGTTTTCTATCTTAGTTTCGAACTATTCTAATGTACTAGGCTTCGGCAGTGGTATGTTAGGTTCGTCGCTTGCCTTTTCTTTGCCTTGTTCTATTCCCCTTGGGGGATCTCTAGGCCGCTTTTTAGCGCGTCCTCTCTATTTTCAGTTGCGGCTTTGGGCCCCATTTGTATTGAACCTTAATTTCCTGTTGAGTTTAATATATTACCTCTTTCGTTCTGAAAAAAAAAAAAAAAAAAATGGCATTTTTTTCTCCCTCCTCTTTTCTAATTCTAGTTATATTTTTTAACCGGACTAGTTATACTCTAATAATTATAATTAGTGGGAATCTCCTGTGATGCACGGGGATTTCGTACCTTAGAACCTTTTCCAAAGGTTAATTTTAACAATATATTAGTCTGTTGACTCGTTTATGTTAATATAAATAATAATTTAACATATATTTATTTTTAATACAAAAAAATAATGATTTTACATATTTTGGTTCATCATAATACTCAAATATTATTTTATTTAAAAATTTATTGTTGCGTAATATACTTATTATTTATAACTTATAGAAGTAAATTTTTTATGTATAATGACAAACATTTAATGTATATTAATATTTAATACTATTATTATTGATATAATTAATTAAAAATACATGAGCAAATTTAATATTTGTTCGGAATGTAATTATATGTAAGCTAAGATAAAATGTATCTATATTTATATAAAAAGAATAACATTTTTTTAAAATGGAAAGTCAAATTCTTAGTCAAAGTTTGTTATCATTAAATACTTACCAATTTGGGTAAGTTTTTGAATTTTTTTATTCAGTAAAATGCAAAAGCATTAAATGCTTCCCTTAATTTGTGAGATTAGTTATAACTCATTGTAAAAGATTCAATCTTTATAGCTACTGTGTGATTTCATGTCGTCCAATTGCATTTTGTCAAATTTCATCCGTCTCTTACATGGATAATTAAGAATTTGTAGTTATATTTTATGGTAAAAGATTCAATTTTGTTAGCTAATGTGAATTATACTTATTATTCATATAAATAAAAATTTTTAAATATATGATAAAATTTTACCAAAATAATTATTTTATGGAATCACATTGTAGTTAAATCGAATTTCTGAATAAAAATTTAAAAATGACACTTATTATGAAATTAATATAATGTATTTTATTATCAATTACATGCACCGTAGGGGTTGTGTACTATTTTTTTATCTTAAGGGGGATCAATTGTGTTCTCAGTTCTCATACTCAGGTACTTGAACCCATGACCTATATATCATAGGTGAAACGTCTTACAACTCAAGTTGCACTTTGTTGTCGGGTTGTATATTAATTTTAAAGAAACATGTTCTATGTGATTTTTTTGCACAATTTAAATTTCAGATAACATTGAAATTTTTAATTTATAAATATTAATGTAATGAACATCTCTTACTAGTGCATCGCACGGGGTTCGTACTAGTGTATCCAAAATAAAATATGCTTATGATATTTTTCTTTAAATGTTTGATTAAATTTGAAATTCAAATTACAAATTAACCTATAATCTTTTCAAAGAATTTGAATAAAGTTACCAATTGTAGTAAATACAAATTATTAGGTGGGATTTTACTTTGTGCTTAAAATAAATTTCTATTACTATTTTATAGTAATGGATTAATGAAAAATTGAAAATATATGTTCATGAGTATCTCTTTACCTAATTTGTATTTAAAGATCTACCGCAATTCATAAAATTTTAGGAAACGTATTTATACAAAACTTAAATCAAAGCGAAAATATGTGGGCATGGAAAATTATGAAACAATAATCTGAATTATATGTGATACCTATTGTAATATAGTATTGCATAAAATAATGTATCGTACTTTTTTTTTTCTTCTTAAAATTTAAATTTGAAGCATACAAATTTGAAAACATGATTTTTTTTTTTTTTTTTTT